AATAAGAGATGTGACACTCTTTTAAAGTTAGTAAACATTACATGCTAAAATGATGTGTGAAACTTCTGTAAAACATGCAGGCGTCTTCCTTGCCTTTTTTATGGGAAGTTGTAATAAAAGAAACTTAGAGGATACTGTAACCATTCTAAAATTTTACAAATATCTTTGATTTCTTTCATCAGAGATCATGTGACGACATATTCCATAAGCTCTTAAAAACATTAAGTTATAACTGCTGTTTCGTAGTGGCACTATAAAAAATGAACACATCAAAAAGAATTTCTTGAAATCTACTTCCCAAGAATTCACTAGACACTTGATCACATGAATGGAATACAAATATGAGAAGTCAGTATGTTATGATGCATTTGACTGGGGAAATCTAAAACAACAAAAACAGTATGAAATACTGTTAGTAGAGTTTACTTTTCTTATGGACGTTAATAGTGCTATATTATTACTATGGGAAGTTTTAATAAAAGAAACTTAGAGGATACTGTAACCATTCTTTTCACAAACAGCTGTTGAAATTCACTTGTTGTTATTCTTAAAAAAATACTATAATGGTTACTTTATTGTCACATCTTCTATAATGGTTACTATATTGTCACAGCTTCTATAATGGTTACTTTATTGTCACAGCTACTATAATGGTTACTTTATTGTCACAGCTTCTTTAATGGTGACTTTATTGTCACAGCTTCTTTTATTATTATTATTCTTACACAATTTTACCAATGAGAGAACAAAATCATGAGATATTATCACCCAAAATATTTCCAAATTTTCCACAAATGATTATTATATTGTTGTACAATAATTAACAAATATTTACAGGTAACTGTTCATACTGTTTCCATCATCATTTAATATCTTCTTCCAACTAGTAATATGTTTAAACATGAACAAATCATGAAACACGTTAGTTTCTTTGTCTAGTTCTTAAAAATTACTTAACATTTTTGTTTTTGATTCACAAACCCTGCTGTTTAATTCAATGTTCACAGTGAGTAATAAGATGGAACTCTACCTTGAGGTTGAGACTTCTGTTGCAGCAACTGCTTATCTTTCACAAAGCAGTCAGTTTCTGGCATGTACGACTGAAACAGAGAGTTCATCACAGAAGCAACATTTGGAGAAGATGACTGGTGGTCAAAGAGCTCACCCTGGAATTTCTTGGAATGAAGAGCCAAAGAGGAATGTAACGTGATCGATGATATGTCTGGGAGTGTCTTGCTCGATGATGATGTCCTTAACAGACAAGAAAGTGAAGATGAGCTAATGGAGTGAGGGGCAGTAGACCTATAATATCCAAGGGGCATTCTATCAGAAGCAAAATCTTTGTTTTGATACTGCGATGGAGAATTCCATGTAGTTCTTCCCATACTGGTTGTTTGTAGTTTACAACTTCCATCTTTTGTACCTCCTGGTGAGACAGACCTGTATATCTGTTGTGAATATTCATTGGTGCTTCCTATTCCTGATTTTAGTTTTGTTACCTTTTGTTCATGACCTATCACTGCTTTGTGGTGAGTAAGTTCACTTAGCTGACTACAAGAAGCAAAATTATTTCTGTTGCTATTCTCGCAGTCTTTAACAGTTGTAGTATTTATTCTTTTAGTCTGTGATCTAGACCGACATCGTGCTTTCTCTTCCTCCTTAAAAGCTGGATCCTGTCGTTTTAACTGCATACGGTATTTCTGTCTCTCCCTTTCTCTCTCTCTAAACATAGGATCCTGTCTTTTCAATCGCATACGTTGCCTCTGACGTTCTCGCTCTATATCTCGAAAGGTAGGATCTTGTCGACGAGCCTTCATTCTGAAACACTGTTTCTCTCTTTCTACAGCTCGGAAAAGTGGATCCTGACGTTTCAGCTTCATCATATTTCTCTGACGTATTCTTTCTTGTTCTTTGTATGTCATATGTGGTTGAATTCCATCATAAAGTCTATCCTTGGGCCTAAATATAATAAAAACCAATCTAACTATGATACTAACAAAACTAGGTCAGCAGAAAAAACTTTTTAAAGGGTATTAATGAAACATTCACGTCTGGAAGTAAACATTTAAAGTGGATACTGCAACTAACCCTTCAAGTCTTTATGACTAAATATACCAAAATAAATAAATTAAATAAAGTAAAATCACTTTTATTCACTAGGTTTTGTCATCATCGGGTACAAGTAGTTTACACTGACACTGATACATATATACAGTAGGCAGATTTTGTTAAACAAAACCGATGTCTGTAGGTTTACTTTCTTCTTAGAATTCTTCTCAAGAAGTCGATAAGCCGTCTTAACATTGTTAGAACAACGGGTAAAAGTTGTCGATAGTCATGAGTTGGCCGACGCGTTTCAAATGCGTTCTGCATCCATTATCAAGGATAAAGTGTGGATAATTCTTGAGCTGGTTTCAGGGACAAAAGGTAAACTGTAGTGTAATGTTCTGTTGTTGGGTTTGTTAGTATCAATTTTGTTTGTGAGTTGAGTTTTGTTGTGGGGAATGTTGGAGAGTTTTTCAACAATAGCTGGTGGGAATCTATTGGTGTGAATGAAGAAATCCTTTATGTGGTTAGTTTTTCATTTATGTAGTCCGTTGAACAGAGTATTGTGGCTGTATTTAAGAGGTTTTTAAGTGTATTGATGTTTTTGTGTGGTGTCATGAACGTATTCCAGGGGATTTAAGTTCAGAGGTATAAATGACATGCAAGAGACCCGATAGTTTTTATCTTTGTTTACGTAATCTTAACCTCAGACACTCCTCGAGTTATAAACTGGGGTGTTTGGCAATATAGAAATAGTTGGGTTGTCCAGGAAAATGCAGAAGTTAAAAGACGTTTGAGAGATGTGACTAAACAGATCAACGTAAATGCAGATTCTCGATACATAAAGAGACTGTATTGAATTTCAGGTTTTGAATTCAAAATTATTCACCAGTCCAAACATCCTGGAAGTGGTGAAAAATGTGTGTTGGGCAGAATATATAAAATGTTACAAAAAACAGATTCCATTGAGGCAGGAGGATAACTACATGTGACAAGTGGAATCCTGAAATGGAAGACACAGCAACGTGATCAATGTAAAACAGCACTTCATCTGGTTTTAAGATATCCGTTAAAGGGTCACCAGGATACTAATGACCCAAAATCCACACGTACGTTGTCTGAATCATCATTTCTCTAAAAATTAGAATTGTACTTGATACTATGTAACCATTCTTTTCACAAACAACTGTTGAAATTCACTTGTTGTTATTCTTAAAAAAATGTCTTCCTTGCCTTTTTTCTATAATGGTTACTTTATTGTCACAGCCTTTTACTTTATTGTCACAGCCATTATAGAAGATGTGACAATATAGTAACCATTATAGAAGATGTGACAGTAAAGTAACCATTATAGAAGATGTGACAATAAAGTAACCATTATAGAAGCTGTAACAGTAAAGTAACCATTATAGAAGATGCAACAATAAAGTAACCATTATAGAAGATGTGACAATATAGTAACCATTATAGAAGATGTGACAATATAGTAACCATTATAGAAGTTGTGACAATAAAGTAATCATTATAGAAGATGTGACAATACAGTAACCATTATAGAAACTGTGACAATAAAGTAATCATTATAGAAGCTGTGACAATATAGTAACCATTATAGAAGCTGTAACAGTAAAGTAACCATTATAGAAGCTGTGACAATAAAGTAACCATTATAGAAGCTGTAACAGTAAAGTACC